AACATAATTCAAACACATTCTGGAAGCTACAGTGCAGGGCTACAACTTTCATTTTTGACCATTTTAGGACATTGATCATGTGACCACCCTCCCCAACAACCTGACCCTGACATGCATCATCATTCGTCATCTTGGTTTCTTCAACCTTTTGGTCATCTCCAATGATATTTTCTTTACTGGATGTGCATAGTGGAGCCTGAAAATGGTACCTGACATCCCATACACCATTCCTATCAATTTCTAATTTGATCTGATTTTATAGCTATTTTTAGTGCAATGAAATATCTATTGAAAGCACCAGATATATATATGAAATGTGCAATGAAATAGCCTAGGAACAAGAATGAAATATACATTGAAATCACCAGGCATCCAAATGAAAAGTGCAATGAAATATCCCAGAGCTAAGAATGAAATATCCATTGAAATTTCCAGGCTTCTATATGAAAAGAAAAATGAGATATCCAGAGAACTTAATGAATGAAAATGTCAGGCAAAAAGAATGAGACATCTCATTAAACCTCTAGGCACTGAGGATATCGCCCTCCAGGCAGATGTCTGATTTTTATCATAAAAATGGTTACCACTAGTGCATCTCAACCTGGAAGTCATATCCCCCTTGCATCATACCATATAGGGTTTTGACGACCCGTAGAACCTTGTTTTCCTCCCCCCGGGCGACAAAACCAGGTGGCTGGCGCATGTATGTCGTAAATTTGTTGTGGCTGTATAAGTACGCGGCGACGATATCGACCTGCCAGATGTGGAGGTCCATGGCGGCGACCATTCGGAAAGATTCTAGGCATACGACGGATGCGTAAGTCTGGTCATAGTCAAGTCCAGGGATTTGAGTGTACCCTTTTGCCACTAGGCGTGCCTTTCGTCTAATGATATCTCCATCAGCGTCATACTTGTTTGCATAAACCCACATTGAATCAATGACATGTGCGTTTGGGGGTGCCTCTATGAGTTCGAAAACACCCCTCTCCTTCAAGACGCTCCACTCGGTCTCCATAGCCGGCATCCACAGGTCAGGTCTCGTCATAGCCTCCCAATAACTACGTGGTAGTTGTGAGTCTGGGAGGGTGGTCAGCAGGGCAGTGGTGTCAGTGGGCGCACCCATCCCCAGGACGGCGAGGCGGGCGGATCGTCTAGGTGGTGTTGGTATGAGCACGAGCGTAGGAGCAGATGCAGTGGTGGAAGGGGTTGTGTCTGAGGGGGTGGCTACAGGGTGAATGGGAGGATCAGTTGCGCGTGGTCGTGGTGCGAGAGGTTTGGGTGGGACGACAACTCCAGGAGTGTTGGTGTCATCCAAAGGAGTTACGGGGTTGTCGTCGTCGTCAAGCATGATGAGTGGGGGCATGTCATCGTCGGAAATAGTGTGGTGACCATGGCCTTCCTCGAAGATGACATCGCGGCTCTTGATCGTGGTCCCTGATGCCCGATCCCATAGCTTATAGGTTCCGCGCCCAAAATAGCCGATCAGGGCATATTTTATTGATCAGGGTGAAAGTTTCGATACACCGATCTCTGTCGGTATCTTGGCATATGCAATACAGCCGAACGGACGCAAATGTGATACGTCTTGGCGATTCCCTGTCCAAATCTCTGCAGGTATGAAGCCAGGGTGACGTGAGGAGGGGATGAGATTTCGGACGTAGATGGTGAAGGCAGCGGCGTCAGCCCATAGTGAAGGGGGTAGTGTGGATTCAGCGAGGAGACAACGTACGCCTTCCATGATTGTTCTCATCCCATGTTCTGCCATTCCGTTTTGACCATGGGCGTAGGGCGCGCTAAACTCCACAGTGATGCCAAAACATGTCGTGTATTCCCTCCATTTGTCGTTATAAAATTCACTCCCCATATCCACCCTCAACCAGACCAATTTCTTCCCTGTCTCCCTCTCAGACCTAACGTGGAATTCGGCAAAGGCGGTGAGGGTAGTGTCGGAGGATTTTGATGTGAGGAAGTATCCCACACGGTAAGAAGATCCCCCATCGTTAAAAACGAACATGTAGACGGCTCCCCCGACAGAGCGCACACGAGCTGGTCCCCATAGGTCAGCGTAGACGCGCTCCAGGACCTCCGTCTCGGGTTTTACCTCTTCGTCATATGGGCGCGCGGTATGCTTTCCATATATGCAGTCCTCACATCTCCCAGTGAGTTCAAGACTCCCCACAATGTCAAGGCCGTCGACGAGACCCTTCTTCGCCATTTCCGTGATTGAGCGGACACCGGCGTGTCCGAAACGTCGGTGCCACACTTCAATATTGCTGGGTTTTGTGAGAGAGCGGGCAATGAGGCCGTGTGTGGGTGGTTCAACCTTCAGTAAGTACATCCCATTGTTTCCTGTGCCCGCCATCAGCGTCCTTTTCTGACCATTATAAATGTCGTAGAAAATGACGCCCCCACCGCCGAAGAGTGCCCAGCACTTCGCTTCGTCGAGTTTGCTGATGGAAATAAGGTTGGCAATGAGTTCAGGAGTGTGGACGGCGTGTTTGAAGGTAATTGTGGTTTTCAGTGAGTCGGATACAACAGTCTTGGTGACTGTACCGTGTCCGATGATTCGAAACTGACCTCCCTGATTTGCAGACTGTCCTTCATCGGGTTGGGATAGCGCATGGTAAGTGGAGAAATCCGAGCGATTTATGAAGCAGTGCTGATTTGCGGCGGAATCGGCATAGGTTGGTATGATTCGTTCGACTGGCGCCGTGTCTGCCGCTAATGCAGTTGTGATCCCCACATTTGAGAAGAGTGCGAGGGTGATCTCAGACGTTGGAGAGGCATCTGTGAGAGCAGCTGTGACGGAAGGGGTCCTAGCGGGTGTCATGTTGCCTGTGCCTCCACGCCTTCCGAAACCCGGTGGGAATTGACCCTCCTTTCCCCCTCCACGCCAGTAGCAGTCTTCGATGACATGTCCCCTGCGTCCACAATTTGTGTTGGCACATTGTAACTGATTTCTCGATCGTTTGGTGTCGGTTTGTAGCACCGTGACTACGGTGGATGGGTTTGTAACTGACTTGGAGCAGTCGATACGGTTCCAGTGAATCATCAGGTGACTGATGACGTCCGTGGACGATTTTGCCTCGTATAGCGTCCCAACAATGCTATCCCAGGACTCAGGAAGCGACAACAAAATGATCATACGGAAATCGGCATCGTCAATTTTTGCTCCAGCGTTATTGGCTGTCGCCCATTTGGTGCGGAGGTTGGAAATATGAGTGGCGAAGTCGTTTCCGTCGGTAAAGACGATATTTCGGAGGTCGCGTTGTGCAGTGACCACGGCGAGGTCAGAGGATATTTTGTATTGGGTGGTAAGTGATTTCCAGGCTTCTGCAGCTGTACCGTCAAGTTGAAGCCCGAGTCCGACAGCATTTTTGGTGTTGTATAGGAGTAATGCGCGCGTCCAAGCGTCACGCATGGCCCACTCTGCGCCGGAGGGGTTACTGGAATACCATGGAGTGGGGTCATCTGGAAGTGGGACGTTAGGTAGTGTGGGGGTGTAATTTAAAGTCGTGGCGTTCGGATAGGGAGCGGGATTATGGATGGTTCCTTGTAGGTAGCCTAATATGCCGCGACTACTGGTTGCGATAATGACGAGTGTTTCAAACGCAGCGAAGTTGGTCCCATCGAATTTTTCCCCATCAGGGAAAATGGGGGGGTTGGCGCTTGCAGACAACATTTTGTGGTTGTGTGTGGGAAGTAGGCTTTATGAGTCACAGGTGATGTAATAAAGCAGGTAGGTGTCTGTAGTTCCTCTTGTTAGAACGCAACGGGGCCCATAACCTGTTAACGTACGAGGATCTCAGTCAGACACGGATGTGGTGATGACTCTATTGTCTTAGCTACCTGTTAACGTACGAGGATCTAAGTACAAGTAGCGTTAGCGTTAAGTATCTAAATGTAAGTAAGAAAAGACTCACCTCAGTCAGACACGGATGTGGTGATGACTGAGGTGGAGGGAAAATAAAGTCCTCGTACTTATAGGATGGTCGGGAATAAGGGACGTAAGTGGGTGTAAGTGTAAGCGGTGGAAGTTTTACTGAATTGATCGAGGAGGTGCAAACAAGACGTATGCGTAAATAAATGAGGTCACGAGGGGTCTTCTTCAACACATGAGCACCAGAGTGGCTGGCTTGGCCCGGGGTGCTGGTGGTTGGGGTGAGGGTGAGCCTGGTGAATGCTTCCTCGAGGCCACTGCTGTTGTCGTCATTGATCAGCGCCACTGTGTTATTGTCTGTTTGTGCCTTGAAGATGATGTCGTTGTAGAATTTGAGTAACGCCTTGTGGTACAGTGTGCCTGCCTTCACCTGGATAAACTCGCATACAAATTGAAGTCTTTTTGGTAGTCAATGCCCAAACGAGCACCTTTCCCTGCTGCATTGAACTCCATGTCAGGGGAAAATGCTGCCTGAACCTATGGTAAGACCAAAAACTGAATCATTGTCCAAGAATTTGAAATGAAAATGATGTTTACCAGAATCGCAATCGTCACAATGCTACCTTCAGTGATGTATAACACTTTCCACAGTTTGGCGTATGTTTTCGGCTTGGCGTAAGTTTTATTCCGGGAGATGGAAGCAGCACCTTGCGGAGGCCCTTCAATGCCTTGGTTGATGGTGCGAGGTGAGTAAAGACCCTGTAAATATAGGTACATCTCCTGTAAACATAAAAACATGTCCACATCAACAATATACATACAACCTTTTCCATTGCCTTGGCTTGCTTTTGTGTTTCCATTTGGCCAGATAAGATGATGAGAGTGAGACGTTCACAACATAAATGCTCCACAGACACGCCGTGAGGTTGGGAGAGAGGAATGGGAGCAAATGGGAGGTAATCAGGTCGTTATCAACAAGATGTCAATGATCCATCATTACGCGGATACAATTCCCAATACAATCACATTGTAACTGATCCGGTCCATCAATTCTCAGTTATAACCGAACTAGGACCCTTTCAACACCTCGATCCAATGGCAATCTATTGAGATGGAAGCAGGAGGCAAGTCTTATATAGAGACATAGGAGACGTACATAGTTGTTTAACTATGTAGATTACCTAATACGTAGACTAGGCTTGTTAGTCCGATGTTTATTAACACTCCCCTTCAAGTCGTCGACGTATTTTAATAGATAGGAACTGTGGGTGCGTTAAAAACCCTCCCGGAAGGGTAGGGAAAAGCTACCACTTATTCTAAGTTCCTTCCAGTGTTGATCTCATTCCCATTTTGGCAATGTGTTTGCGATGTTTAAAGTGATATAAAGCCTTTGTAAGTATGTCGGCTGTTTGTTCAGGATCACAGCAAGATTCAATTTTGATTATGCCATCGTTGATCGCATCTCGTACTCTGTGGTATCGAACAGCGATGTGTTTGGCACGGTTGTGGAATTGTGGGTTCCTGGCCATTGAGATTGATCCATTGTTGTCACCTTTGATTGTTGTTGGTGACTTTTGTGCAATTCCAAGTTCTTCGTAAAGGTTTCTGAGTTAGTAGGCTTCACGAGCAGCTTCTGATAAAGCAACATATTCGGCTTTGGTTGTTGAGAGAGCAGTAAACATCTGTCTTTTAGAATGCCATGTTATCGCTCCCCCTGCTGCGATGAAGACATAGCCAGCTGTGGACTTGTAGTCCTCTGTGTCAGCATAGGCAGCATCAGCAAAACCATGAAAGAAACCATGGAACAAGTCATTTTCTTGGTTGCCTTGGGAGTTGGAATATGTTATTCCGTGTGATTTTGTGCCTTTGAGATATCGTAGGATATGTTTTAATGCTGTGACATGTTGTATTGTGGGGTTGGCAGTGTAAGAGGCAAGGCAGTTGACGGCAAAAGCAATATCCAGTCGGGTGGCATTGGCGAGGAATTGTAGCTCACCTAAACATTGTGCAAAGTAGTTACTTCAGCTACCTTCATTTCCTTCCGGATTTGGTAAAATTTTGACTTTTGGATCTAGCGGCGTTGAGACGGGGTTACAATCTGTCATATTTTCACGTTGGAGAATAGACTCGATGTACCGCTGTTGGGAAATTGTAATGGAGTTCCCAGTATGAGAGATTTCAATGCCAATTATTTTCTCTGGCTCTCCCAGATCGGTTACCTCCCATGAAGCTTTGATTTCCTCCTTCATTTTATGCATCAAGTCGTCACCTGATGCAAATAGAAGAAGGTCATCAACCCAAACAGTGATGATGGAGATTGTATCTCCATCCCATCGTATGTAGGCGCAAGGATCCGAATAAAGTCTTGTATATCCAAGCTCTTTGAGCTTGGTGTCCAACTTGTGGTTCCATTCACAACCTGATTGTTTCAAGCCATAGATGGTTTTCACAAGTTCACAAATTCATTTAGTGCCATCGTTGTACCCCTCTGGTTGTTTCATGTAGACCTTTTCCTTCAAAATGCCATTAAGGTAAGCACCCTTTATGTCCATCTGTTGTATCTTGTATTTATTCTTGACTGTTAGAGCAAGAATAGGACGGAGTGTTTCCATGCGTACAACAGGTGAAAAAGTTTCCACATAGTCATAACCTGGACGTTGGGCGCATCCTTTTGCTACCAATTGTGCTTTGTATTTGGTAATTTTACCAAGTTGGTCACGTTTTTTGATGTAGACCCATTTGTTAGCAATGGGTATGGCATTGGGAGGTGGGTCGATTAATTTCCAAGTTCCCATTTGGATAAGTTGTTTATGTTCAATATCCATAGCACATTGCCATTCTGGCCAATCATATGAGGCCTTGGCTTCTTTGAGACTGTTGTGTTCATCTCCTGCCATAATGGCATAAATTTCATCATTGTCAGTTTCAATGATAAGATTTCCCTGCTCGTCGAGTTCATCAGGGTAGGCTTCATTCAAAGCCCGGTAGTCAACACATTTACCCCTTGTCCTTCGTTGGAATGGTTCTTCCTCAGTAGTATGTTTCCCATTTTCATTTGGTTCATCTGTAGATTGGACAGATGGTGTCTTCTCCCCTTCATGTGTTGTATCAATTTCGATATCATCTATGGGTGGAGGAGTAGTGGTTTGTGTGAGGAAACGAAAATTCCTTGAGGATAGAATTTTGCGAGTGGCTGCATTGTAATAAAGAACGGAATTAGAACCGTCATCATAGCCAACATAGGCTCGTCGTGTTGATTTGGTCTGAATTTTTGGCTGTTCAGCTTTTCCTTGATGTAGGATCCAGACAGGTGCCCCAAATTCACGAAGATGAGAGACGTTTGGCTTGTTATTATGCCAAATTTCATAAGGTGTGTGTTTGCCAAGGGGTGTAGTGAAAGCTCGATTTCTTAGGTAGGCAGCATGAGCTACAGCTAGTTCCCAAAGAAATTCAGGAAGGCCATGAGCATTGATCATTGCACGTGCAAGCTCTACAAGTGTTCGGTTCATGTGTTCAGCAACTCCATTTTGGGATGGAGAATAGGGAGCTGTGGTTTGTATTTCAATTCCCTGTTTTGCACACCAGTCCCGAAGGTCTTGGTTTACAAATTCTTTCCCCCTGTCAAAGTGTAGTGCTTTTGGTTGTCTCCCAAGAGTTTTAAGGCGTGTAACATAATTTTTAACACTTTGAACAGCTTGGTCCTTTAGTTTGACAAAGTCTAGGGAAGTGAATCGTCCACGATCATCAACAAAAACGATATAATATTGATTTCCGTTGATGGAGGAAATATGGTACTTTCCCCACATGTCGATATGTGTAAGTTCCCCAGGTTCAGTATTTCGTTCAGAAGATTCCTTGAACAGCTCAACAGTTTGCTTTGCCTCTGTACAAGGGATACAGTCTGGCTTGGCTGTCCGAGTGTCAATGTTGAGGCCATTGACGAGTTTGAGATCTAGTAATTTTTGTAGACCTGAATAGCTGATATGGCCAAATCTTTTGTGCCATGTTTCCCAGCTTTGAGCTGGTTTGGAGGTCAGATAAGTCTGAGGTGTTACAGTCATTGATTTGGTGGTTGAAGATCCTGGTTTTCGAATAGTTAATTTCATTCGATATAAATTGTTTGAGACCTTCTCGCATCTAGCAATGGATTTTCCATCTTTTGTGACAAGAGTAATGCCACCTCCCCCTCCAAGATAGCGTCCTCCAGAGTTATCCCAATGTCCAAGAGAAAAAAGGTTGTTGGGATTTGAAGGGATGTGTAGGATGTTCTCCAATCTTAAAATATACTTGTATCCATTGTAAAGGGATTCAACTTCAACAGTTCCAGTGCCTTTGGCAGTGGTTTTCATGCCTCCAACACCAGAGACAGTTTTGTCACTTAGCGGTTGATAAGTGATGAAGGAGGCGCATTGATTACAGATGTGAGATGTGGTTCCAGTATCTGCAACCCAAGCATTGATACGCGTTGCACGGGGATGAACGTGAAAGTGCGAAACACGCAAACAATGATCAAGCGCGTCGGGGGAAAACCCTACACACCTAACACTCACACACACACACACACACACACACTATCACAATCTCAGTGCAAGAGTTCGAGGGCCTTTGGTATTAAGAAATACCACTTTTGTCTTCTTAGGTTTAAGTCTCAAGAGTTTTCGTTCAAAATTGGGTTTTTATTATAAGGTGTGGTTTAGAATAGTTCAATAGAACAAAGTATATCTTTCTGGGAACTTGGTCTCTTAAATGCAAAGTTCTTTGATCACAGTTTCTTTATTTAACACAAAACACGACTTTAATTGACTTTTATGACTCCAGTGAGTTTTTATTATGTCACTACGCTCCAAAACCAAGGGTACGAGTACGCTGTCTCGTCTAAAATGATACTGTGTCCTTAAAACCTCTTATTCAAAAGTCTCCAAGCAAGTTGACTCCCAAGCACGCTGGCTTCGTTCACACTGTACTTATCTGACCACGAAGAAATCTCCTTTTAATTGATTACAACTGTCCACCTCCTAAGTCTCTACTTGGAGTGCAACTAGCTGGTCAACGGGGGGGCGATTACTTCCTTTTGACCTGCCAGCGCGCTCCTTATATACTCCAGGAACCCCTATCTATGTTTTACATGTGTTTTAATGCGGGATACTTCGGTCCGAATTACAAATATGAAATTTAATGAACGTGTGGTATATTTTGTAGTCTATCTCTGTGAACACTACAGATTTTGTAGTGTCGCGTCTTTCATTTTCAAACGCATCAGTGTTTGATGCGTACGCGGAGTTAGCCGACGTAGCTATTCTTAGCTTGGCATGATCTCGCGTGTTTCTTTCTATGGCCCGGTTTACCGGTTTGACAGATGACATCACAAAATGATTAACGTTTCCTGATGCGTTGATGCGCATGCGTACGTGTTTACCAATAGTCTTCGGCCTTCCGTCGCTTCCGAGTTTTTAATTAAAATGCCTTGTCTTGGCTCGTCTTTTCATTACGGAGGTCAGGAGACACTCTGAAGGTGTTTTCAAATGTCTTTCTTAATTGTCAGGGGGTTCTTATTATATTTCATATAATAGAATGTGTCTTTTTCTCATGTTTGTACTTGTGACGTTCAGACGCATCAGTCTTTGATGCGTACGCGGGAACTGCCGTACATGACTTTCTGAATGGCCGTGAGCCACGCTAAGTCTTCATATGTTTACTACCTAGGTGTAGTTTAGTCTTCATACGTTTACTACCTAGGTGTAGTTTAGTCTTTCCATGTTTCAGACATGCCGTTTAAGCGTCTATGTCGTCTTTTCTGTATTTCTTGTATAAGCACGAGTTTTCACAATAAATCCATTATGTGTTTCTAAACCCTTTGGTAGTAATGCAATTCTTCTCCCTGTGTTGGGTGTTTACTCTAGAACCTCTTCGTGCTCTATTTCATGGTAGGTGAATCTTAGATAGGATCCAAGTATAATGTCACGACGCGTACTGCTGCCAGTTCCAAAGCCTTGTCCTATTTTCAGATTCCATGCATTTGCATTTTTAGTCAACTGCGCCGGGTATGCACATTGACTCTTTGTATCATTGCAATTGTATGTAGTGTATTTATTAGAGATGACCTTTTATCAGTAAAATCGTTAAAATTGAATTTTATACAGGTGAAATGGTTTCATCTGTATCATCTCCCCCCCACTATAATACTGACCGTCCTCGGTCATCGCAAGATTCCCCGCTGAGGACGTCTTTCTCTGGACTTTGTCTTGTGGTTCACACGTTTTCATATTGTAGCGACGGATCGCCAAGATTTTCCAGGATCGACTGACATACAACTGACAATTTCTGAAGTTGTCAATGTCCGCCACACCGACGTTTTTCCCGTTATAGTATGCATCTCACGCACGTCAAGCTCAAAGCTTCCGAAATTCTATTTTTAGACACAAGCACCCAATAAACTTTCTTAAGTTCTTCGATTCTCAATGATTTGCAGGAACCGCAACAAATCAGACACGGAGTTCCTCTGGAACATGTAGTGTTTGAAAGTCCGGTTCGGTCCGGTTTTTTGATGCCCAGGGGTGTTAACCGTAACCGTAACCGGTCTGCCTTTTCCCCAGAAGTCAAAAGACCAGACCGAACCGCAAAAAGACCGCAGACCGCGGTTTTTTGCGGTCTATAGACCGGTTTCGGTCTGCATCAGTTTTAACCGGTTTATGACCGGTCTTTAGGCCAATATTTTAAAATTATGAATCGGTAAATTTATTAACATCTCTAATAGCTTCAAAACGAGCCCAAGAACGTTAAATCCCGTTAGGTATTGGTGCTTCTATAAAATAAGTCTGGTACATCTATTATTCCCAAAAGTAATTTACATTTTAATTCATATCTCTCTCGTTTTTTTACCAAATCGTACGTTCTTGGGTGCGTTTTAAAGGGTATTTAAGGGGCTACAAAAAACCGGTCCAAACCGGTCAAGACCGGTTCACGTTAACCGGTCTTTTTGCGGTCTTTACATTTCAAAAATAAAAGACCGTAACCGCAGGTCCGGTCTTTTGCGGTCTTGGTCCGGTCTGGTTACGGTCTTTTTCCAGTCACGAGACCGGACTTCCAAACACTAGGAACATGGTGACCTTTTTGTTTTTCTTGTGCTATAAAAGAGGACCCCTTTTTGGTCGTCTTTTCTTTCTCAAGGTCCCCATTCTTCCCTTCGCATCTCTTATTTCATCATGGCAAGCTGGCAAATTCTTTTCGACGGTTCTGTCTTTACCCGTGCTGTCTACTACTTGGCTCACTCATTGTTCAACGAGGAGGGTCTCGCTGACTGCGATGGTGAAGACATCGCTAATCTGTTGACTATTGTTCACCCGCTTATGGTACGTCATCTTTTTTCATTCATTCTTTTTATTCTTATGCTAATATTTGTCCTATAGATTCACTACGTCCGTTCCCTCGATGATGGCTCTCAAGAAACTCCCGGCGACCTTCGCGTTCGTAAATCGCTTTACAATGCGTGGGCCGTCTTGAGTACCGATCACGCCAATCCGGATTGGGATGAGTGGATGCTCGAGGCACCTCTCGAAGACGAATATTATGCTGAGGTAAGTTTTTCTTTTTTTTTATCTCTTCTTTTATCTAGTCTAACCTCTATATTTCTAGGAGGATTGTCTTACTGGAGACTTCATCATTACTCCTTTGAGTAATGATGAACTTCTTCAAGTTCTCCCTGCGATTTGTGACGCGCCCGTCAGGGCAAATCCTTTCCTGGCGCCGTCTATGCCTATCGCTCGTCGTCACCCATCGCCGATTGCAGAACGCGCTCCTTCGCCTGTCCATACTCCATCGCCCATTCGCGAGGAATCTGTCCAGCCAATTTCGCCATCCTTCGTAAGTTTTTATCTTTCATTGTTTTCATTTGATTTCTATTTAATTCAGCAAGAACTTGTCGTGTTTTTAATAAACTAATCATCATTGTCGTTTGCTTCCATTCTGCCGGTGTCATCTTGAACGTTTTGGTCCAGATTTACGCCTTCGAAGTAATAGTCATTCGAATCGACGTGATCTTCAAGTCCTTCTTCGTCTAATTTGTCTAAGCTTTCTTTGTTGAGGTCTATGATTTCATAAATATTGTCTGGAAGCATTATCTTAGTCCTTGCAAAGTAAGGGATAATTCTAAAGGCCCCAACTTTATTTTGAAACACAGCCCCATCCATTTCCGCCACAATGTACGAACCTCCCTTGGAACGCCTGATTATAATCATCGGGCCTAAATATCATGGTTTCATTTTTCTATTCAAGGATGACTCAACGCTCGTATTTCTGACAAGAACCAAGTCCCCTGGTTTGTAAATTCTACCGACGATTTTATTCCTATGTTCAATTTCGTACTTTGCTACTCTTGTCATTTTTTCTAAGGTCACTCTCCTTCTCATGTCTGCAACGTGAACCCTGTGTTTGGCCAAAGCTCTTGCTCTATAGCCAATAAGCTCTTCTGTAGTTAAAACACGATCTGGCAATTTAACTAACCATGTAGCTTCTTGAACGTCAAGTGGTATCAGTGGATGCGCACCAGTAACCATGAAAAACGGCGAGCAACCAAAACGCTTTCTAACCGTGATTCTATCTGCCCATAGTACCTGCCAAAAGAACCAATACCATTTAGCAAGGTTCTGTGGTCCACAGCATTTGGCTAACATTTGTACTACATCCCAATGCGGTCTCTCAATTCTTCCGTTTGCCTTAGAATTGTACGCGGAAATTTGTATTCCCTTTATTCCGTACTTTTCTTCAAGCCATCTTACAGCTGCAAGAAATACAGCACCATTATCTGTAATAATTTCGGATAGGCAGCCCCATCTGCAAATTACTTCTTCAAATAGCCAGAGCGCTATAGTCCGAGCTGTTTCTTTCTTCAAAGGTCTCCCTTCCATATAACTGGATAGAGCGCATCTTCCATGTACAATGTATTTACATCCATTAGATGCAGGTGTTACGG